GAGAGAGACTGGAGGGAAAAGCGAGAAGAAGCTGTTAAAGAAACAGTAACGAAAAGAGACTGTTAAACATGTTTTGACCAAGTTTGTGGAGAAGAACAACTCGGACTCTCCAAAAGATTTATAAGAGGCTTTTTGTTGGTTTGAGTGAGCTACTCAACCTGAGAAGACAGAACTTTGCTAAGCTAGCAGCAAGCTAACTGTGTGGCAGAGGCTGTTAGAGAGGCACGTGGAGCTGCAGACGACGAGCGAGCACCGCATCTTCGGCAGTGAAAGGGTCTTCATTTTCCTCCAACAGACTTTCTTCTCAACTCACTTTTTTCTACCATCCAGCTGTGTGTTCTGAGGTTTCAACGAACTCAAGCTACACCCAGGCCTGCACCGAACACTAAAGGGTACCCATTTGGTTAAAAAAACTAATACGATTGCCGGCTTTAGTACTAAGGTGTGTGGGCCCACAAAATTTAGGTTTTTATTATTTGTGCATATTTCTGGTTCAGTGTTTTAATAAACAAAAAATTAGGATATCTCATTAACCTAGAAAAAAACATTTCAGTTTGATAATTTTCTATAAACGAGGGAGAATTAAGTTACAGTTCCTGTGTAAACAAAAGAAGAATTCATCCAGAGTTTAACAATATAAAAGTATTTATTTTGAATATTTGTTTTCTTTAAAGAATAAGAAGCTCTGATATTTTTATTTCATTTTTACATTGCTTTAATCATTTGGTATTCAGTAAATAATAGAGAATTGATTTTCTAAAACAGTGTGTGGTGTATTTTATTACCTTAGATGAGTAATTAATTTAATTTTGGTTGTATAATCTTGATTAAACTTGTTAGTTCAAAGGTAAGTTAGTATAGTTCATTGGTATAAACTTAAAAAGAGAAATTCAAAACAAATATTAAACATGAGTTAATCAGGTTAAAGCATAATTGGACATTTATTTTTTAGACGAACCCAAAAGCCCTGCCCTCATCTCCATGATTACTGAGGGGAGCGCTACATAAAATGGAGGCACCGCTGGGATAGTTTTGGATTTCTCAGTCTTAAAAAAATAAAAAAGTTAAAATAAGTAATTTAAGTACTAAGCAATACAAACAAAATAAAGATGGAAAAAACAGAACTAGTGTCAGAGTTAAAACGCTGGTGCCGTGGTGAAGGGTTAGAGGAGACTCATTCGCTTATGACCATCGTCCCAGAAGATGTAGAGATCAGTGAAGTAGAAGAAACACTGGGAAATATCAAGTCTTTGGGACGGGTGCGTGTCCGTGGGAGAAACTTCAGTACGAGACTAAACCGACGGATGGTTTTGTGTGAGTGTAAGGAGATTGTGAACGAGGCGAGTGTTCCTCCTGAGGTTGTGACAATTGATGGTGGAGAGGCGTGGCCTGTTATCATCATTGGAAAGGCGCAGGCAGCTGCTGAAGAGTTTAATAATAAACTGAAAGGGTTGCTGCAGGCTGAAGGTAAAACAATGGAGGACCTCAAAACCTTGTTCCCCGGTACACCCCCACCCACTACCTCCACTGAATCTATCTTTCAAGTTGTTGGAGAGTTATTGGACAAGACAAGCAGACCAGCTGATGGTGGGAGCTACATCAGACTGCGCATATTCTCAGGAACCCTACCAACACCACCAGGTGAGGAGACATTTGATCATTGGCTAGAGCAAGCATGGCTTATGGTGGAGGAGACTGAATGCTCCGACAGAGAAAAAAGACGCAGACTTATTGGAAGTTTAAAGGGGTCCGCACTAGAAATTGTGAAAGCAGTGCGACATGCCAACCCTGAAGCCAGCGCAAAAGAATGCTTGGAAGCCCTTGAAATAGCCTTTGGAAATGCAGAGTCCGGTGATGATCTCTATTTTTCTTTCAGATTAATGCAACAACAAAAAGGAGAGAAATTATCAGATTTCCTTCGACGTCTAGAGAGGTCTCTAACTAAGGTGGTTCAACGAGGTGGTCTTTCTGCAAGCTGCATGGATCAAGCGCGCTTGGAACAGCTGCTAAGAGGTGCTATTGCTTCAGACCTGATGTTGATCCAGTTGCGCTTGAGAGAAAGGAAGACCGCACCCCCAAACTTTCTGCAGCTCTTGACTGAGATCCGTGCTGAGGAAGAGTATGAAACTTCTAGAAGGAAGCTCAGTGCCTCAGTACATCAAGTGCATGCTAATCCTGAAGTGGATACCAGGCAGGCCGAGATCCAGAGCTTAAAGGTGGAAATAAAAGAACTGAAGGCAATGGTTGCATCATTATCTTCCCAATCCACTCCAGTCAAGGAGGATTATAGGAAGGCTACACCCATTAATACACCACCTGTTCCTGAGAACCGGCAAAATGCCGAGCTGGCTGCCTTGAAAAAACAACTGAAACGACTACAGCAGAAAACCAGCAACAAGATGTCTGACCAAGATGCTGCAGTCTCATCCATCGAAGCTTCTGAACAGGTCTCCCACACACCCAAAGGAACACAGAAAAAGTCAGATGAGAATTTCTGCTACAGGTGTGGTGAGAGCGGACATTTTGTCACTAAATGCCGCAACCCTGAAAATCAAACCAAGGTTATCAGAAAGCTAATTCATGCTTTAAAGGTGACCAAAGACCAACAGCAGTCAGGTGGTTCCACCACCAGTGAAGTGAACTGTGGTGCCAAGAAAAATGCTGTTACCTCATCTGAGCAGGCTGGCATCCCTGAAGGCTTGATTGGCCCACCCAGCATCATACCCTTGAAAGTAAATGGTCATTGCTGTGATGCCTTGTTTGATAGTGGTTCTCAGGTCACCATTATTTTTGAATCTTGGTATCAGACTTACCTGTCTGATGTCCCCATACGCCCTGTGTCTGGTTTAGCCCTGTGGGGACTGAGTGAATCTGAGGGCAGTTATCCCTACCGTGGGTACGTAGTGGTCGATGTTGAATACCCAGCAAAGGTTGTAGGGGCTGATCAGACCGTGACCATCCTTGCCCTAATCTGTCCCCAGCCCCGAACTGCAGACCAGACCCCTGTCATTGTGGGGACCAATGCCAGTCACATCCGACGTCTTGTGCAGCAATGTAAAGACAATGGCATTGACATCACCCAGACCCTGGGGATACGGTGTTACAGAGATAACAAAATAACATCGACTAACACAACAGCCTTGGATGATATTGGCTGTGTGTTATGGCAAGGCCCTGGCCCTCTGACTCTGCCCCCTGGTGGTAACTGTAGTGCAGTCTGCAAAGTAGAGTATAGGCAGCATGTCGACAAAGAAATTCTGATGGTTGACTCGTCTCCTCTAACTCCACTCCCAGCTGGTGTACTACTTCAGCCAATGGTGGTGCCTAGTGAAGATGTAAATGTTAGCCAATTCAGAATCCTGGTCCAAAATGAGTCCTGGACCGAGACAATCATACCAGTGGGAACAGTTATCGGACATATGTATCTGACTGATGCAGTTGGGTGATTCTCACGAAAATCAGATGTAGAACGGTTCACACCTCAAAATTTTAAAAAGACTTTTAAAAGCAAATTTTCTTTCTGGAATGCAAGATTGAAGTCTTAAGTTTCTAGAAACACAATTTTTATTCAGTTTGTTACATTTTTTCTTAATTTTTACTGCAGTTTTAGTCTGCCTGAGCCCAAGAAATTCTCATTACCGCAACATAAAATCACATCAGAAAAATGTTTAGAAATTATGCATTTATGACTTTTTAAATAAATGTTAGTAACAGTTATGTTAAGAGGTGTATTACAAACCAGGAATTATTATATTTGAAGTAAAGTATTGTATTCAAATTTTATGATTTGTCTCATTACCGCAACACACTTAATGATTTATAGTCTGTCTTTTTAGGATATCTTACTGAAAAAATACTTATATATATTTATATTTTATAGAGATGATGTATGGAGCACTCTAGTTTATCTAAGTACCCCTACAAACTTAAAGCAGTTTGTAGTAATTCAATAATTTGCAAATAACTATGTGTTGCGGTGATGAGAATGATGTTTCGGAAATGAGTTTCAATGTTTCGGAGATGAGAATTATTGTATAGGTCCATAAGGATTCCTATTCAACAGCTAATATCTCTGGTAAATGTTGGCATTACAAGCACATGGAGTATGAAGTCTGTGAATATTCAACAAATATAAATATCTATTACTGTAATTTTTTTTCGGCTCAGCCATATTCAACACAATATGGCATGTTCTGTGGAAGAAAAAATATACAATGCGAATTAAAATGATTCTAATTATTGCATAACAAAGCTGTGACAATATCCCATTTAGGGCCATGTTAATGACACAAATATTTCAAAACAATTCATTAACCTATCACAGGGGTGGTGAGCCCCTTTCATTCAAGGGGCCACTTCACATTCATCCGAGGGCTGTAGAAGTCCTCCGAGGGCCTTATTACGAACAAAAATCAGGATTTCCCCCTGTACTTTAGGCCTATATCGAAGGCAGCCAGCTTTAAAACAGAACCCAGCTTCTCTAGGTCCCCTGAATATAACTTAATTGTATTGCAAATGTACTTTCTAAGTTTACTTTACAAAATATGTCATATTTCATGCGAAGCTGCATAACCTTAAAACTATACCAGGGGCCGGATAAAACGGCCTTTAAGAGCCACAAACGGCCCTCGAAACACAGGTTCCCCGCCCCTGACCTGTCACAACATTTGGTTCTTATTCCAGTTTGAAATTTAGAACACGTAATACCATAATGTCAAACAACAGAAACACATAACATTTGCAAAAGAACTTTTATTTCATTTCTTTGGTGAATTCATTCATTCATTTGTTGTCTTGTCTCTCTTTTTTAATGGCAGCACCCTCTCAGGGGGTTGATGTATCCATTGGTCCTGTCATTTCTAAATGTTCTTGGAGGGCTCTCAGTGGTGTTCTGTCAGGATTAGGGTCTGCTTCCTCTCTTTATGCTCCATCATTCTCAGTACTTCCATTCTCCATATTCTCCTGACTGACAAATGATTCTGGTGTCAAGTCCAGAAGTACTTGCTGCTGCTTTTTTCTTTTGTAATAATTTTGTGAGTTCTACCGCCATTGTTGCTTTCTTCTTTCGAGCTGTTTGCTTGTCAGATCTTTAGTAGTTTTAAGTTTACCAGCTTCCTTACGTTTTTGATACCTTGAAGAAAAAAAAAAAACAGACCTTTTATTTATGCTCATGCTATATTTCTTTCAATCAATGGACTATGTACAAAATTGTGTGTATACCTATATTTGCTGAGGATGTAACTGTGTGTTCGGGTGTGTAGGCAATGTGTGCAGCAGATGAATGTTTGCATGGTAACATCATACAAGTGTGTCTCTCTGAGTGTGTGCTTTGGGAAATGTTTCCATTTCTCTGTGAGTGCAAGGCTTTGGATGGGTATGAGTGCAACTGTCAAACCACCTAACATACATTACATATACTGTATATTTTCCCTGTTATCACTCTTTCCCCTAACCTTTCTCTCTCTTTCCTTTTGTGTTCCTCATGTAAGATTGGATCGCTGTAAACTGTTGCCCTATGCTTTGCCAGCCTCTGTTGCGCTGAAGCCCTTTTCTTTTCACCTGATGCTTTCCTGTAACAAGATAGCACATGTAAAGACTGCACTTTTGCAAGAAGATTTAACCAAGTCATCATTATTGTTTCTATGGAAAGACTGGTCAGGCAGCTTAGCTGCAAAATGTCTATTCTATTCTTTATCACACGCTAATCCAACAAAAAGAAGAAAAAAAAACAATATTAAATATTCATAATTTAATAATTTTCATAAAAAATTTCAAATAAGCCACCATACAGTACATAAATGTGGAAGATTACTGAGTCCTGCTAGGACTGGTGGGGAAATGGCTTGTAACCGTATCTGAATAAAATGTACAATAATATAATACAAGTGTGTAATAATAATATTATATAATACATATAACATAGGTCTACACTTAAAAAATAATAATGTACAATAAAAATAATGATATATTGAAATGAGCTGTTATTATGCATTCCCATCCTTTATGATATACTATTTAATAATATAATATAATATAACATAATATAATATATAGTATATAATATGATATAATTTCATATATAGTAATGCATAGTAAAATAAATATGATGTACAGTGAAATGAGGTTGAAATGTTACATTTTAAAATGTAATTAACAGCTATAGCAGCTCCTTTCAATGTATATCATATTTATTTTAGACTTTATATGTACATTATATTTATTTTTTCCTTTCATTCTCAGGATGCATTGGCTTTAACAGCTCATTCCAATGTATTCTCATCCACCGAAACACTGAGTCTCACTACCGCAACAGTTGCGGTGAATGATAATGGTGTTGCGGAGGATGAGTGACCTTGACCTTTATCGCTAGCTATAGGAGCACCATGAGGGTTAGCTAAACTTTTCTTAGCTGTTTATGTTTAGACCACAATAGGCTATATAATTACAGAAAAATAAAAGCAGAAATATTTTTTAAGACTTCATAATGTCATGTTGCGGTAATGAGAATTAAAAAGTTACATAGGTGCAATAAGACCAAAGTTTTAACTTTTGTCTTGAGAGAGAAAAATATAGCTGCTTACCTGGTAGACATCTTGAGTGTTACAGTCAATTCAGTCCCCCTCAAACAAAATGCCTTGCAAATATTTGTTCCTTGTTGATTTTATTGCTGATTCAAAATTGTTGCGGAGGATGAGAAAGTTGGTGTTGGACACATTTCTTTTTCTTATTATTTTCACTGTCTTTACCAACAGTCACCAAATACCCAATGTACTTTATTTGTGCTTATTAGTAGTATGATATTTTCTGAAATTTATTCTTTTTGATCTTTTTAATTAATAATATTTCAATCTTATACAGCACAATTTTAGTTCTGGACGCGTTGCGGTAATGAGAAAATTTACCATTAAATGTAAAAAAAATACAAAATGTTTAAAAGGTATTGTGATTTGGAGTTATGTGCAATATAGTACATGAAAATGTGATTTAATTTATATATTTTTTATTTTTATAGAGTAAACTTTAATCATAAAAATGCTTTGTGACACCTATTTCTCATGATTTCATGAGAATCACCCAGTTACTAACCTCTCTCATTCCAAGTCCGCTGACACTGAGTTTGATCCAAACCAGATCGACTTTGGAGACTCACCTGTCTCAGAGGAGTGGAAACAGAGACTCCGTCAGAAGCTATCCACAAGGGCTCAGGTGTTTTCGCTGCATGAATGGGATGTTGGATTGGCAAAAGGAGTAGAACACACAATCCGAATGTCAGATCCACGGCCATTCAGAGAGCGCTCCCGTCACCTGGCTCCAGCTGACCTGGAAGACGTGAGAAAGCACCTCCAAGAACTGTTGCAGGCAGGCATTATTAAGGAGTCACATAGCCCCTATGCCTCCCCAATCGTGATTGTTCGTAAAAAGAATGGATCAGTGAGAATGTGCATTGATTATCGATTGTTGAACAGCCGAACAATTCCCGATCAGTACACAACACCTTGTATTGATGATGTGTTGGATTCAATGACTGGAAGCAAGTGGTTCTCCGTTCTTGATCTGCGGAGCGGATATTACCAAATTGCTATGGCTGAGGATGATAAGGAAAAGACGGCCTTCATCTGTCCACTGGGGTTCTTCCAGTTTGAGAGAATGCCTCAGGGGATAACTGGAGCCCCAGCCACCTTCCAGAGACTAATGGAGAAGGCTGTAGGTGACATGAACCTGCTTGAAGTCCTTGTATACCTCGATGACCTGATTGTATTTGGCCGAACTTTAGAAGAGCATGAAGAGAGACTTCTTAAAGTCCTTGATCGTCTGGCAGAGGTTGGACTAAAAATCTCAATCGACAAATGTCAGTTCTGCCTGCCTAAGGTAAAGTACCTTGGACATATTGTGTCGGCTGATGGAGTATCGCCTGACCCATCCAAGATAGAAGCCGTTACAAATTGGCCACAGCCTACACACCTGAAGGCTCTTCAATCCTTTTTAGGATTTTGCGGCTACTACCGTCGCTTCATTGCAAATTATGCAGCCATTGTCAGGCCATTGTCTGAGCTCACAAAAGGTTACGCTCCAACTCAGAGGGGCAAAAAGTCTGAGAAAGACAACACAAAGACTTACCTCAAAGAGTCTGAGCCTTTTGGTGAGCGATGGGACCAATCTTGCACCGAGGCTTTCCACAAGATTATCCACTGCCTCACCCATGCACCTGTGTTGGCCTTTGCAGACCCCAACAAGCCATACATCCTGCATGTAGATGCCAGCTTGAAAGGGCTTGGTGCTGTCCTGTATCAGGAACACAGGGAGGGTCTGAGACCAGTTGCCTTCGCCAGCAGGAAGCTAAAGGTCTCTGAGAGGAACTACCCCGTTCACCAGCTGGAGTTCCTGGCCCTTAAGTGGGCGGTTGTGGATAAATTCCATGACTATTAGTATGGGGTCAGGTTCACAGTACGTACAGACAACAACCCGCTCACATACGTACTGTCGACCGCCAAGCTCAGTGCCGTGGGGCACAGATGGCTTTCTGCCTTATCCACCTACGACTTCGATGTCCAATACCGACCGGGCAGACACAACATAGACGCAGACCTGCTCTCGAGAAATATGCCTGATGAGAGCACAGAAGAATGGACAACAATACCACAGTCTGGTGTGAGATCGATCTGCAAACAAATCTGCATCCCTGGTTCTGCAGGCAGTCCGAGGTATGTGGACCAGTTGGGAGCTTCTCCAGAATGTGTGCCTGATGTCTTTGCATTCCTGACTCACCTGGAGTTGAGATCCTTGGGGCAAATGTCAAACCAGGAGCTTATAAAAGCTCAAGAGGAGGATGAAGCCATCCGACTTGCCATTCAGGCTGTTAAACATGGAAAATGGCCTGAAGAAAATGGATCCAAACCAGAGACCTTTCGCCTTAAGAAAGAGATGGGGAAGCTAGTGATGAAGGATGGGCTACTCCATCGTTTAAGCAAGCGGCCCTCCGGAGAAGAACTGACTCAACTTGTTTTGCCAAGCGGGTTCAAAGAAGCTGTGTTGAAAGCTACACATGATGATCTAGGACATCTTGGAATTGAAAGAACTACTGACTTGTTGAGGAACAGTTTCTTTTGGCCGAAGCTTGCATGTGATGTTGAGCAGTACATAAAGAACTGTGGAGAGTGTGTCACGAGAAAGACCCCTTGTCATCGGTCAGCGCCTTTGCATCATATATCAAGCAGTGGACCAATGGACCTTGTGTGCATTGATTTTCTGTCGATGGAGCCAGATTCTGCCGGCATTGGAAATGTTTTAGTGGTAACGGATCACTTCACCCGTTACGCTCAGGCTTTCCCAGCCCGAAATCAGAAGGCACAGACAGTGGCGAAGATCCTGGTTGACAAGTATTTTCTACATTACAGTCTGCCAGGCAGAATTCACTCCGATCAGGGGAGAGACTTTGAAAGCCAGTTAATCAAAGAGCTTTTGAAGATGATGGGAATCCGTAAATCGAGAACCACTCCCTATCACCCGCAGGGAGATCCGCAGCCTGAAAGGTTCAACAGAACTCTTCTTTCCATGCTGGGAACCCTGGGGAGTGAGAGGAAAAAGCAGTGGAGCAAACATGTTGGCTACCTGGTTCATGCCTACAACAGTACCAAATGTGATGCTACAGGATACTCACCCTATTTCTTAATGTTTGGCAAGAAGCAAGGCTTCCTATAGACTTGTGCTTTGGAACCTCTCCTGATGGTGAAGCTGATGGTTGCCATTCCCGCTATGTAACCAAGCTAAAAGATGACTTGCAGAAGGCCTACAAGCTTGCATCTGATACGGCTTTTAAGACACATCAGAGGAACAAAAGATCCTATGATAGAAGAGTGGGATTCCAAACCTTGGATATTGGTGACAGAGTGCTACTTAGGAACTTGGGACTGAAAGGAAAACATAAATTGGAGAGTCGATGGAGTCCTATCCCTTATGTGGTTGTAGGAAAGATGCCCAACCTTCCAGTGTACAAAGTCAAACAAGAAGGAGGGGGAGGAGTCAAAACTCTCCATCGTGATCATCTCCTGGCAATTGGACAATTAGTGAGAATGCCAACTGTGGAGTTGGAGGAAAAGTCACATGTCATGAGAAGTTCAAGAACCAGAGCCGAGACACAAAAGAGATCAAAGAAACCTGAATCTGAAGTACAAGAGGTTTTTCAACAGTTGCAGGAGTGTACAGATTCTTCTTCAGATGTGGAGTATTATGGACCTGAAAAACCCTACAGTGTTCACCTGAAGGAAATCCTAAAAAAGGAAAGAGATACTGCAAGACAGTCAACTTTCATCCCAGATGATGGGGATTCTCCTCTACAGTCAGATGGAAATCCTGCTGAGGACAGCTTGTCAGAGGAAGACAGTGTGGAGGAGGAACACAACAATGTGGGAGAAGAGTATGGAGATCAAGATTCACTTCCAGAGGAGGAAAGTGGTTCAGAGTCTGATAACCCTAGCACCAATGAGCATCCAGAGACAGTCCCTAGAGCAAGAATTATTAGTAAACCGGAAAACCGTCCAAAAAGAATAGTGAAACCAGTTATCAGGTTAACTTATGATGAGCCTGGTAGGGCAAAGGATCAGCCTCTCACTATTGTACATAGAGGAGTTGTCATTAAGATTGGCAAGAGTTAATTTAAACATGGTTATGCACCCTTCTTACTAGTTAACAGTTAAAATAAATCAAAAAGTTCATTAGGGTTGATGAGGACATCAAAAACATTTAGAAGGGGGAGGGTGTAACCCGGTTAAAAACATTGATTAATACTAGTTCACAAATTAAAGAATTAGTCTGATTAAAAAGAGGTTTGAAATTCATTAAATGGTTCTAAACATGTTAAAAGCATTTTTAAAATAAGTATTATGCTCATTATGTTTATTGTTTTTCTTTAAAATGTAAAAAATTAATCTGTATCTGTATGTATCTGTAAAACTGTTAAAACCAGCAT